TACTCCTCCTACTACTACTACGACGACGACGACTACTACTACAGCTATTACTACGACTAGTACGACTCTGCTCCCTCTACGGCCACGGCCACTGCTGCTGCTCTTGCTTTTCCTATCCCAGCTACTGCATGCAGTCTCCGAAAGTAAGTCTTGGTTGATAGCTCGATCCTTTGATGCGCTGTGCTTTTTCGTAGAGCCCTGGAACTTATGTGAGGCGCTTTCCGATCTCTGGCGCTTGGTCACGGACAGGAAGCGCCTTTGCTACTGTTTAGTGTTTAGTGTCTTGCCCATCTGGTACTTCACTCCATTGGGATTGCGATTGCTCATTCTGAAAGCCCAAATGTTGCTGATGACCTGCGTCGCACCCCCAGGAGTCCTGCAGGAGGTGTCGAAAATCCCAACAGGTGTAGTTCTCGTCCTTCCCGTTCATCCTTTCGGCACTTGAGAAGCAGAAAACCCTCATCCCGAAGTCGGATGAGGTCAGGCTTCCAGTGCATATGACAGTTGGTCCCTAAACCTAAAGCCTTAAGCTCTCTGTCGGCACAGGGCTCTCCGGGTTTTCGGATCCTGACACGAAGCTACCAGGGTCCTCACTAGATCTACCTTGTAGCTGAGCTAGCACACTTTAAACTACTTCTGTTAGAAAGCCCCCTCTTGAAAGCTGAAAGTTGAGTCCAGCTTCACTTGTGAGCTTGGCAACGTCTTTTCGGCAGCGACGTACCACAAAGAAGACTGAATGCTTAGTAATACTACTCTGTAAGCTATAGTAATATCATAATGTACCCGAAAGCACAATAGCCATCAAACTACTCAGGCCCCTATGTTACGTTTCGGCAATTACGACTAATAAAAGTCGATATGGGACAGAGCCATGACGTAGCAGTATAGAAGGCTGAGTAATCGTCAATATTATTCCTGAGGGGTTCCTTGTTCGAAGCATACTATAATATGCCCAAAAGCTATATTGAACATTAATTAAGGCCAGATCACAAACCCTATACAAAACCCTGTAATCCCTTCAAGAATCCCTAAAATAGAGCCCTGTTCCATCCATGTCAGGCCCTTCCCTAAACCCAAAACCGTAATATCTAAAACCAATACGGTTGATGATAGAAATCCTGCATTACCCATGATAAAGAATATTCCATAGTTCCCATAGTTTAGGGTCCTTAAGGCAATGCAGGATTTATGTCATCAACAGTATTTCGACCAGAGCCTAGATTTCCAAGTGGTGCCCTCAGAACCTGAATAAGGGCACGCTTCTTCGTGAGGGTCCTAGGGTTCTGGGTTTGTAAGGTTTAGGGTTTAATTTAGGGTTTAGAGGGTTTAGGGCTTAGGGCCTATGGGGTTTAGTTTGCGGTTTATAGGGTTTAGGGTTAAGCTGTTTAGGGATGTTTAGGGTTTGGGGTTTTGTGGTCTTCTTAGAAACATAGTCAGTAACACGAGCTCAACTGGGGCTTCGGATCGCCCCAGGAAATCCGAAGCCACAATCTGTGCACATCCGTTAGGGTTTAGGGTTTAGGGTTTAGGGTTTAGGGTTTAGGGTTTTTTGGGTCACCTCAGGTGGAGCAATATCGCCTTCGTTGAGCCCGAGCTTGCGGATGAGATGACGGCCCGCTTCACGGCCGTATTCGGGCTTTCTTCTGCTCTCGAAGCACACTATATAGGGGCAAAAAGACCGAGCAACACGACATAAAGGCCATGGACGTTAGGAAGCCGTATGTTTTGCCAGGAATGCAGAGAGTCCCCCCCCCTCCCCATTTCGCAAGACTCGGAGGGCTCCGGACCCAGACGCGCAAAACTCGTGTCCACAGATGCTCCCAAGATTGAAGATAGACTCTGAAATCTTCAGCCCTTTCAGTGCAAACAAATGCCAAGATCCCGCAAACGTGATCAAAGCCGTAAGTGAGTTCTTGATCGAAGCTTAGGACGTCCAGTGGCCGTAGTTATGAATTATGTTGTTTACTCTAGCAGCACCTTACAAAACGCAAAATATCCCTGCTGGACAGCCCAGGAGATAAGTTCCTGGCCCTGAGGGCAAGCTTCGCGAAGGGCTGTGCCCAGCGCAGCCGAAAGCGAAAGGCAGCTGCAATGGAGGACTCAAGCTCATGAAGCTCAGGGTGTTGAGCTGAGGGTTTGGGATTTCCGGTTACCATGTTCTGTTTTAGGGCTTAGGGCTAAGAGCCTGAGAAAAGAGGGCTGAGCTGCGACAGCAATTACTGACTACAGGCAACGTGACTGCAATTGCAACTACTACAGCTACGACCACTGCTACTACTATTGCTCTTGCCATGCGACGACTGCTACTGAGCTACTGCGTCTGCTCTGCTACACCTAACTCTAGTAGGTCTGTTGCTCATGAAACAATACTTGCCAGCACAGGCAACGGTGATCACACTCCAACGCATCAGAGTTCGAGAGTCCGAGAGCCAAGGTTGTCAAGCTTTCGCACGAAAGTTTGGGATGTTGGTCAAGGGTTTAGGGTTTAAGGCTTCACTTCTGAAATGGTCTAGGCGGGATCAGGATGTACACACTGCAATGGCATTACAGTGTAGCTCCTGCTTTAGAGAACGGGTTAACATGCCATAACTTGTGGCAGTGAAGAGCCTCAACCGCGGAGGCCACATGATTCTTCAAGGGCCCCCCTAAACCCTCAAACCCTTAGTCACTTCCAGGTTGCACTGGTGGAAAGTCTAGGGCTTCCCGGAATCGTAGCCCAAAGCCGACATCGTTTGTGGATCTTAGTTAGGAAGGATAGGCCTTCTGAGCTACTAGAGTGGGTCAAGGTGCAGAAATGGAAAGCCGTAGGCGGGCAGGGGTTCTCCTTGTGCAAGTCCAGCGCGGGTGCATCTCAATGCAAGTAGGTGTGCGCTGTCCAACCCGTAGCATCGCATCTTGATTCGAAAATGAGTCATACAGCCATGCTGGATCCAGAATGGTCCCCAAGTCGGGTTCCATGTATACTATTGTAAACCCTAAACCCTAAACCCTAAACCCTAAACCCTAAACCCTAAACCCTAAACCCTAAACCCTAAAGTTGTAGGGACTATGGGGTTGGTGGGTTCAGGCGTTCAGACAAGGGGGTTGGACTAAGTATTCTAAGGACTGATACCGGTTAATATCAAAAATCGCGCGGTTATTATAGGTTCTAGCCCTGTACCGTACGCCCAAACCCTTTTTTGATCATCAAGGCCCGTATTCAGCTCCCCTCTACTAGAGTTAGGCGTTGGCGGTGCAGGGAAAAGAAGAAAACTCTGGAAGCTTTGGATGCTTATAGGGCCTCAATACCACCAAGTTACTATGAGGGTTTGGTGGTTTGGGGCTTCGGGTTTATGGGAGTGGTCTTCCATACAACCGTGTGAATGTAGGGGCCCGATTAGATGGGGAGTAGGACTTGAAGATCGTTATGTCAAATATAGGCGTTCTTAATACTGAGTTAGAATCGTGGTTTGGGAGTATATACTACGTTAGTTATGTGGAGCCCTAAGGAAATAGCATTTCAAATTATTCAGGCATCTGTAAACAAGCTTGTGACGTTCTTACAAAGGCATGACCTTACGAAAGTGTAGCCGCTGTTCTCTGGGGTATGCGGAAGTACGGATGAGCAGTCCTTCTAGAATTTGCTTGAGATGCCCCTCATAATTTGCTGTGTTTGATGCAGCCGTGGGCATTGGGACCCTACGGGGAGGCGAGTGAGACTCTCAACAGACAGATAGAGAGAAATAGAGGCACCCTCGACCCCAAATCCTTGACCCCAAACTAGCCCAAAACCCTGAACTTGAAAGGTATATGGGGGTTTCCAAAATAGGGGACCCTAATATAGTACCCTAAATAGTAGGATCCTTACTATAAGGACCCCAAAATAAGGTACCCTAATTTTTGGAAACTCCCATATACGGCCACAGCGGCTCTTGAGGCGAGTCTCTTTGGACCGTCCCCAGGTAAAGGTCCCGTGAATGGGGTGGCTTTTCCGACCGTGACTGGATCCTGTGCAAAGCAGTTTACTATAGAAGCCTCAATGATCAGGGACCCCAAAAGGTGAACTATGATTTAGAGGGACCCCCCTAAGGGGGTATGGCAAATGGAGTTTGCTAGCAGAAGCTGATGGTCGGAAAGCAAGGCCTGCCAAGCATTAGCAACGGCTGGCAGGCCTTAGTAGAGCCTAGCAAGCCTTTGTAGTA